AAGTTGCAGTTTTCAGGAGGACGAGGAGGATGAAGGAGGATGAAGGAGGAGGAGGAGGAGGAGGAGGAGGAGGAGGAGAACTTGGCCTCTTCTTCTATACTTTCAATATTTTTTTTGAGGGAAATGAAAATGAATAACTGAGGCACCCTTTGAAAATCCAGCCTCGGGAACAAATTTAAAAAGCGAATAAAACACACCTCCCACTAATTTTGGGAATCAGTCGTGTATCTGAGCAACAGGAAGTATTCAATTGTTGAAAGCCCTTTGTAAACGCCCTCTTCAGTTCTCATTTAGAAGTTCCCCCACATTGCATTCGGCATTTCTTGCAACACAACCTCCACCAGGGAGCTGCGACATCAGTGCCATAAAATCTCCAAGTTCTTCGGGTTCACCTTCAGCTGATGAATGCAGTCCATGCACTTGTTTGTTAAAAGGTTGTTTTGTTCCCGCAAACCTCTCCTGCCCGCCCCCCCCGCCCCCCCCAACAATATTTGATTTGTTCACTATGCCGATGGCGAATGAAGCGACCCCCGGCAAACCATAAAACACAAATGTTTTTGCGCTCCTCGTCGAGCGAAACCTCAAGAGGCCTCCTCACAATGCTCCAGCTGCATTCGTAAGACCCCTTTCTTGTAGAGAAACCACAGCTGTAAGAATTCCTCTGGCATGGCATGAAAGCTAGAATCCGGGAAGACGTTGTCGTAGTAATGATGGCTAATGTACCGCCCACGGAGGTCCACTGAAAAAGGCCAGAAGCCGTAAATCGTCACTTCTTCACAAAGACCAAGAGCTGCGCTGACCAAGAAGAGGCCGGTCGAAAGCCGTTTAGCGTGAATCCCTTTGCTTTTCCAAAACTTGCCGGTGTCCCGTAGGAAGTTAGGGTTGGCGAAGATCACCTTCTGCTTGGCTTCGATGTCAGTGAGGGTGTAGTACACTCGGAAAGAAAGCTCGGTCCCGCCTTTCATGGAGAAAGCCGGCATGTAGATGTAGCTCTGGTTGTAGACTTTGACGATGTCCACAAAGGCTTTTCGGGACCAAAGAAGATCCTGGAACCTGGGGAAGGAAAGAAAAAAGAAGAGAGCAGAGAAGAGGGGAGGAGGAGAAAGGAAAGATGGCAGGAGGGGGGAAGGAGAGAGGCGGGGAGGGGAAGAGAAAGGAAAGATGGATGGATGGATAGGAGGAGAGCGATGGAAAGGAAGGAGAGGAGGAGAAAGGAAAGATGGATGGATGGGAGGGAGGGAGGAGAGCGGTGGACAGGGAAGGAGAAAGGAAAGATGGATGGATGAGAGGGAGGGAGATGGAGAAGGGAGGGAGGGAGGGAGGGAAGGAAGTGGGGAGGGGAGGAGAAGAGGAGAAAGGAAAAATGGAAGGAAGGAAGGAGAGAAGAGAGGAAAGGAGAAGACAAGTTAGATGGTAAGTTCATGCTTTGCCAACTACACGAAAACGTACTATGAAAAGGCCAACAAAATATTGACAAGAGTAAATTGTAAAGTTAGTGAAGATTTAGGGTCTCGGGCAACTAGGATCAAAGAAATAAGTTAAGTGTTTCTCAACCATGGCCACTTTAAGATACCTGGGCTCCAAGAATTCTGGGAGTTGAAGTCCACACATTTTCGAGTGGCCACGGTTGATAAACACCGCAATAAGCAAACAGGTTAATGTAAATCAATGCTGGTGGTTAACTCTTTGATTATTAGATTGTCATAAGCATTCCATAAAATGGCAACTAACAGGTAGTCCTCAACTTATGACCACAACTGAGCCCCAAATTTCCATTGCTAAGCAAGACAGTTGTTAAGTGAGTTTTGTCCCAATTTATGACTTCTTAACACAGTTGTTAAATGCGTTTGTTCAGTGAATCTGGCTCTCCCATTGAATACATCCCAGTTGCCAAAGATCTGAATTTTGATCACGTGACCGGGTAGGTGTTGCAATGGTCGTAAGTGTGAAAAATGGTCATAAGTCATGTTTTTCAGGGCTGTTTTAACTTTGAATGATGACAATGTCTCCTGGTGATTGGCCCAAAGTCACCCAGCTGGCTTTCATGGCAAAGGTGGGACTAGAACTCATTGCCTCCTGGTGATTGGCCCAAAGTCACCCAGCTGGCTTTCATGGCAAAGGCGAGACTAGAACTCATTGCCTCCTGGTGATTGGCTTTAAGCCATCCAGCTAGCTTTCATGGCTAAAGCAGGACTAGAACTCACAGCCTTCTCTTTTCTACCCTGGTGCCTTAATCACTAGACTGGTTCTCTCACTTCAAACTGGCTGCCTCTAGTAGGGTTGGGAGAAGGAGAGATATCTTCCACTGTTTCTTCATTATTTTTGAATTCTGCTCGCATTTTAGTATTGGGGTAGAATTTGTCTAGGTCAGTTCCAGGACTTTGGGAGCCAAGAAATAAGCTCTTCTCCCTATCCTGTCTTCTCTCCGTGACCTGAAAGAGATGGATGCGTGGAAACCTACACTGGAAACATGGAGGCTGATTGGAAAGATGGTTTAATGATGAAGCAGAACCGCATGCGTTCGGGGTCCTGGGCAGCTGACCACATGGAGTGGAGAGTGAGGGGTTTTTATACCTTCTCTTGGGCTTTAAACTTGAGCTTCCTGTTCCTGTGCAAGAACATATATTCTATTGGCTGCTGTCAGACTCCCATGGGGCCATTTAGGGATCACGTTTGTCTGAGCTAGTTTGGTTAAAGTTTGATGGGTGATGCAATGCCCCCAGCTGATTGTGCCATGTGGTGAGTTCTGCTACTGGATGGGTTAATCCTATTATGTCCTGGAAGGTCATGTCTTAATCCCATCACCCTGGAGCTGGAGGTCTTTTGTCTTATAGAAAGGCTGGCCCAGTCTTTCTTAATGGGCAAAAAATATCTTTGGGGGTATGTGTGTAGATTGAGTCTGCTTTCTGTCTTTTAAGAAAAAGATCAGTTGGCTGGAGTCTTTACTAGGATCTTCAATCGGTCTTCAGTCCACTATTCCATCTCGTTTGAAAGTTTCCACCATTTTCCCACTGCCAAAGAAGTTTCCGATCTCAATGATTACAGACCAGTGGCACTCACTCCTATCAGCCTGAAGTACTTTGAGAAATTGCTCTGCCGGCACATCATTTCTGGTCTTCCACATACATTTGATAAACACCAGTTTGCACACAGAAAAAATAGATCTACAGAGGACGCTATAGCCATCACTCTTCACACTGCTCTGACTCACGTAAAACAGCGAGGAGGGGTGGGGGCTATGTGAGGATGCTTTTTGTGGGTTTTAGTTCTGCATTTAACACAATTCTTCCACATAGACTAGTATCTATACTTCTGGACCTTGGACTTTCTTATTCAATCTGCCTTTGGATTATGGATTTCCTGTCTGGCCGCTCACGGAGGGTCAGATTAGGTAATCATACCTCTTCAGCCCTCATTCTTAACACTGGTACACCACAGGGTTGCGTGTTGAGTCCCTTACTCTATACTCTATGGGCACGACTGCATTCCCACTCATGCTAGTAATACTATTACTAAATTTGCAGATGATACAACAGTGGTGGGACTCATCTCCAGGGGGATGAGTCTGCCTACCGAGATGAGGTGGACTGGTTGCTTTCGTGGTGTGGAGACAGTAACATGGTCCTCAACACCAATAAGACCAAGGAGCTGATAGTGGACTATAGAAAGAACAGATCAGATATCCAGCCCTTGCTTATCAATGGAGACCGAGTGGAGCAAGTGGCCAGTTTTTAAGTTTATGGGTGTTACCCTAAAAGAGGACCTGACCTGGGATGCTCACATTGCAGCCCTGGTCAAAAGGGCCCAGCAGAGATTATACTACCTGAGACTTCTCAGAAAACAACAACTGAATGGAAAACTGCTGGGGACCTTCTACCGCTGCACCATAGAGAGTATCTTAATTTACTGCACCTCTGTATGGTTTGCCAATTGCACAGTGCACTGCAGAGGGTTAATGTCATTGCCCAGAAGATCATTGGTTGTCCTCTCCCCTCTTTGGAAGAGCTTTAGAGCTCCCACTGGCTTAAGAAAGTTCAAAACATTTTCAAAGATCCATCTCATCCCAGGCACCCCATTTTTTTTTGAACTATTACCATCTGGCAGATGGTACAGAATAATAAAAAACAAGCACAAATAGGTTGAAAAACAGCTTCTATCCGAGGACAGTAGCTCTTTTGAATTCTACTGTATAGTGCAGTGTTGGTGTGGTGTCGGGGTTTTCGGTTCAATGTGTGTGTGAAGAATGTGTTTGTGTTTATTTTCATGGTCATGATGTGAACTGAAGGTGGTGTTTGATTTTATTGAATGAGATGCAATGACAATAAAGTAAACTAAACTAAACAGGTTTCTCCACTTCTCATTGAGGGAAATATAATATTCTGCCTTTTTAATATTCCTCAAAATACTACATTCTCCTAGGAGGGTGGGGGTGCTAACTTTCTACAGAAGGAAACACCCAAACTCAAAGAACACCAAGGACTTCATAATTCCTTCTTTGGTTCTTCCATGTACCTCGTCACATGGAACATGTCTGAATGGATTTAGTCATTCGGAATGAAGGACAATATGGAACAGTAAATGAGCTGGAGTTTGTGGGCTTGTGGCAATTATAATTCAAAAACGTATCAGGATGATATCAGGCCAAAGGAAACTGCTTTACAGCCAGATCTGTCTATTCAACTGAGATTTAAAAACTGGAAAAAAAAAGGTGCACTTGACGGTAGTACAACTTACATGAAATAAAAATTAATGACCCATATAATCAGTGCAGGATCTGTAGCATGTAGCAGATTAGAAAGCAATGGACCCAATTTTTCCTATGTAAGTTCTTAAACCTTAGATGCTTGTTATATGTGGATCTTATTGAAAGATCGTTGTGATTTACTTTAAGTTTCTAAGCCATTGTTTGCATCTAGCATTAACATTATTTTCTTGTGTTTTGAACTGGTGATTATGTCAAATTTGTTATTTTTTAATTTAACGTCAAAAACATTTACACTTTTCTTATTATTGTAGTTTGTTGCATTATGTATAAAGTAAATATCAATATCTATATTTATCTATCTATATCTATCTATCCCTCTCTATCTACCTCTCTATTATGACATTGCTTTTTAAAAAATCCTTACTTGTTGCATAAAAAATATACTGTACTGAAGAGACAGAGAAAAAAAACCCTATATTTAACTATTTAGAAAAAAACAGAGACAAAAACAAAGAGAAAAAACTCTTAAGAAATAGGAAAAAGTGAAAAATATCACTAGAAACTAAAACAGAAACTTTAACAAAAAAAAGTTAAAAAATGAAATTATATCCCTTCCTATCTGTCTGTGGTCCATTTAAAGATAGCAGATGTCAGCCTATTAAATGTATATAACTTCCTCCTATTTTTGACAATACTGTCATTTTATTTTTAAATGATGAATTAAACCTAGATAGCGTACAGAAATATGCTGTCTGTTCTTGCTTCTCTGAGAATTAATAGCTGTCAAATTTAATTACAGCAACATTTATAATTTGGGAAGCATTTATTTCAAAGGGTGAAAGTCACAGATTCAGGCTAGCTGGGGTACCATATTAAGATAACTTGTCTCTCTGTGGGCGTCTCTGAGTTATTTTTGACTCCTGGCAACTATCCAGAGAAGATCCTGAAGTTTTCCAAGCCACATTTTTGAAAATGGTTGGCCACTGCCTTCTTCCTAGGGCTAAGAGGGAATGGTTGGATCAATGGAGTATTCTTTGGACACGGCATGCTATGAAAATATAACAGGTTTCTAAAACTAGCTTTAGGGCTTATCCCAAAGGTGTTTTGTCAGGAAGCAATTGGATTTTCTGGTTTTTCTTTGAAGACATTTCGCTTCTCATCCAAGAAGCTTCTTTGGCTCTGACTGGATGGTGGAGGGATGGAAGGATTTATAACTGCTTGCAGACAGCTGGTCATTTGCATCCTTTTTAGGGAGTCAATGAGGCTGCTTGGAGGTTTTATCTGTGTCCTCAGAGTCACCTGATTGGTGCAAACTCCACAGACTTTAGGGCTCATGTTGTAAGAATGC